CAGAATGCTGTTTTGATGTTGTGTTTATGGAGGATCTTACTGATTCTGTCTGTGGTGCCTTTTATGTATGGGAGGAGGGCTTTGCCGTTTTCTTGTTCTTTGTCTTGGATTTTAGTGGGGGTTTCTTTTTGGATTAGGTTTGTAATCTTATTTCTATGGAATCCATTGGATGTTAGTACATTGGTGAGAGTGTGTAGTTCGGGTTTTAGGTGTTGTTCGTCAGCTAAGCGTTTTGTTCTGGAGATGAGAGTCTTGGCTACAGAGTTGATCTGTGCTGGGTGGTGGTGTAAGAGCTCCCACCCAATCAGTTCATACCCCCACTGGCAGTTAAAAGGAAGAAACAGCTAAGACCACACATTGCTGCTCAAAGCACAAAGCTGAAAACACCAGCCTGAAGATGACGAATGAGACTTCGTCGAAACGTTGCCAAGACACTTCCAATTTTACACGGGAGAAAACCCGAACAACCAAAGACCTACATACAAATACCCGCGAAAACCTCAGAAAACATATATATATATATGTATGTATGTATGTATGTATGTATGTAGGTCTTTGGTTGTTCGGGTTTTCTCCTGCGTCATTAAAACCTGTTAACATCATCAGAGCAAAGGGCTAAATAGAAGGGGGGGGCATGTGCATAAATTTACATAACAGTTAAAAAAAAAACAAAAAAACGGTTGAAGTGAGGCATGTGCACACATTGTGCCCAAGAAGCTCTTAAAGGCATAGAGCAGTCAGTCTCAAGACCATTTTAAAAGTCGCGCTTGTCAGCTGTTTGGCGCGTAGATCCAGCATGCCTTTTAGCCAGCCTCTTGGATTGTATAGTTTGTTTGGTGTAGGGTTGTTGTGTGTGTGTGTTTTATTGGGTACGGTTATTTGGAATGTTTGTGTGTGTTTGTTTGTTATGCTTATTAGTTGTGGGTGGTTTTGTGGTGTTTGGGAATTGGGCTGTAATATTTCTGTGTTGCAAGCTGTAATTTCCTCACTTTCCTTACTTGTGCCGGTACCGCAGCTCTTGGTGGCCCCTATGATTCATAACCAAACCTGTGACCTGTTGTCTGATGGCATTTCTGGTCTCCTCTCCTACTCCAATGCGGTGTATGGCTGGTTCTAGAGCTGAAATGAAGTCCAAGGGATGGGCGTCCCTGAGATTACATCCCGCATTTCATTGTAGGAGGGCAAGTTGGGGCTGAGTCAATGTCTTATTAGACAGATTATACACCAGTCTTTCTGAGGGATTGTAGCCATTCAAATTACGTAGTCTCTCAGTCCTATGCTGAAATTTCTCCGTCGCCCATTGGCTTGTAATCCTAGCCATAGAGTGGATATGTTGGTCTAGCACAAAGAAATGCTGACTCACGAGTATCCTCTGGCAATATTCTCGATGATTCTGAATGTTCCTCATCAAGCCATCAATACGTCTATGCAGGTCGTTTATGAGTGCTTGCATAGTTCGATGTTGGAACCGCCGGAGTGCTTGACAACACTCAGCAGAGTCAATAACGAGTTTCCTCCTCAACGACCTGGGTGGGAGATTTTCCTTGATACAATTATGCAGGAATGCTAGCTTGCAATAGTTATCAGCAACACGGCGTGCAAGCTTTTCCCATCTTCTGGCTTTGAGCAGAACTGCTCTATCATAATTATTTTTAAAAATATTAAAAACAAAACAGTGATTCCTGGGTAGACTCATGTTAAACAATAAAATATACGAACACCAGGAAGTTACAAAACTATAAAAAGTTTTAATAAAACCAGAATAAAACCAAGCTTTCGCTGGCTTCTGCCAGCATCATCAGGGTAGCGTCCAGTCGATGGGAGAAGCTATTTATAAATGTGGCGCTCTTTGCGCCCGGCTTCTTGACCTCGTCATGGGTCCCACCTGCATTTTGATCATAGTTTCTGTGTTGCAAGTTGTAATTTCCTCACTTTCCTTACTTGTGCCAGTACCACAGCTCTTCCTCCCTTCTTTGTATGACTGTAAGTCGGGGGGGGGGAGCTCCTTAATTCTATGTAGTTAAATGTGCACTGTCTGTGTTTATGTTGTTTATTCTCCTCATCCTCCCTCTTAGTACTCCCTATTTCCATTCTCCTCCCCCTGTTTCTCTGTTTACGATCCTCCTTCACAATTATATCCTCATTGTTTGTCTCTGTAGCCCAAGATTCCATTGTGTTTGTATCATCCTGTTTCCCGATCCTTCGTATCACTTTGTTAACTCCCCTTTCTATTTTCTCTTCAATGGGGGTGATTTTAACATCCTCTCCGGAATTCGTGGTACCCACAAGTTGATTGTTAACCCCTTCTCCCGAGGGGGCTGTCCCCTCACTGTTGTTTATACATTCACTCATTACTTGGGGGTATGCAATCCTCCTTAAAGGGAGAGAGGCGGGGTCCTTGCGGTCATGACTTGCATCTCCTTGTACATTCCTGCGAGGGGGGGTCGTTCCTCTCAAATGTCTGTGGGAGCGTGTGGAGGCTCTAAGATTATAACAAACAGCTTCCCATCTCCCCGTTGTTCTTCTGCAGTCCCAAGGCGAGAACAGCTCAATAGGGAAATGTCATTAGTGGAGTTAGTTGCAGGATCGCCGGTGGAATTACACGTGACGTTCCAATCATTCAAATCATGATTGTTTAATAATCCGGGGTCTGTACAAGATCACTTCTTTGTCAAACTCCTCGCTGTTCCTGGGGAGACCCTCGATTCATCGGCACTTGGCTCTTGGTTGTCAATACACTCGTGTGCCCATGGGGGATGGGCATATGTTTCAGCAGGTGGAGAGTTACTCAGCTGCTGATTATTCCCTATCTGGGCATTTCCAAGGCTCGTCTCCTCCGTCAACCCTCTTTGCTGAAGGCACGTAATGTTACATTGTTTTCCTCCGGAGGGACGGTCACGCATTGCCCATGCTCTTAATGTTACATGTGCTGGGCATAGGTCCAGATGTCGCTTGATGGATTCTTCGTTGGAGAGCCACACTTCTTTAAGGAGCCGCCCCCCCTTCGTGTTGTCACTGGCCATCACCTGCACGCTATTAAAATCGAACCTATGCCCAGATTCTAGCATATGCGCTCCGATTTGGGAATATTGGTCGCCTCTCCTTACCGCCAACTTATGCTCATGAATTCTAGATTTGACACGTTTGGCGGTCTCCCCCACATAATTGGCCGAGCAACTTTCACAGTTGATCCTGTAAATGACATTGGACTTCTCTATGGTGGGGAGTGGGTCTTTCAATCTCATCACCTTAGATCGCAACGTCTGGTTGGGGTTATGTGCCACCCTCACGTCATAGGGTGCCAATAGCCTAGCCGTAGCTTCTGAGACGTTGCTAATGTAAGGGAGAGTAATGCGAAGTCTCTGTGATGTATGTTCTTCTATTTGAGACCTGATGGGGAGGGGGGGTCTGGATGGTAGTCCATGGTGCATGATGAACTTCATGGGGTAACCATTGTGCCTGCACACCTTAAAAAGGTGCTTCTTTTCTTCCGTCCTAGCCTTAGCAGTGTTGCAGTGGGAGCCTACTCTCTTGAAGAGTGTTCTAATGCAGCTGGCCCTGTGGGCTACTGGATGGTTGCTATCATAGTGCAGAATTCTATCTATATATTTCTAAAATTTGGATTGCTAGCAAAGAATTAAAAGTTCAAAATAGCTATTCCAGTTCTCCTTTCATTCTTTGCTAGCAATCCAAATTTTAGAAATATATACGATGTCGCAGTTGTGACTGACATGCCTGTGGATGGCTCTAGTTTGAGCTGATACAAGGCAAAAGATTTCTTTCTCCCATATTTGGGTCGACAGGGTGTATCAAATAGCACTCAAGATATATATATATACACACATACATACACATACATACATACATATATATATATGTTTTCTGAGGTTTTCGCGGGTATTTGTATGTAGGTCTTTGGTTGTTCGGGTTTTCTCCTGCGTAAAATTGGAAGTGTCTTGGCGACGTTTCGACGAAGTCCCATTCGTCATCTTCAGGCTGGTGTTTTCAGCTTCGTGCTTTGAGCTAAAAACACCAGCCTGAAGATGACGAATGTGACTTCGTCGAAACGTTGCCAAGACACTTCCAATTTTACACAGGAGAAAACCCGAACAACCAAAGACCTATATACAAATACCCGCGAAAACCTCAGAAAACATATATATATATATATATATATATATATATATATATATATATATATATATATATAGAGAGAGAGAGAGAGAGAGAGAGAGAGAGAGAGAGAGAGAGATCTGATCAAGCAATTAACTACAAAATAATGATTACAAAATAACAAAACAATGATTACATGATAACGCTATGTATCAATATAAAATGGTTACTATATATAAAATAAATGCTAATGTTAAACATACTAAAATCATAAGCACAATAAAATCTCTTCAGTATCAATATAAAATGGTTACTATATATAAAATAAATGCTAATGTCTAACTTAAATATACTAAAATCATAAGCACAATAAAATCCCTTCAGTAGTAACTTATCAGAAACTAAGTATTTCTCTCTATATAGAATTTACCATGATACTTATGCAAAAATGTCACGTCTCATTGTGTCTCAAAGACAAATTCTGAATCATACCATAAAAGAGTTAATGTGGTATGAACCAGAGTTTGTCTTTGGGACACAATGAGATGTGACATTTTTGCATAATTATCTTTTATATTTATTATTACATTGAAAATAAAATGACTTACTCAATATTACTTGGAGTTACAAAAATTCAAATCTATTTTATAGCTAATCTCCAGATCTAGGGATTATTTGAAACTTGATTCTTTTAGTTGAGTGAAACCTATTTTAGTATAGCCATGTGCTGGGAAAAATAATAATCCTAAAAAGATTTGGATGGTCTATCAGTCTGGAGTTGGATCTCATTTATCTTTTTGGTCCAGTTTCCAAACTGAAACAATGATTGGCAAGAATATGGTTTTAATATATCTTTCTTACAGAGCAGTAGTGGGCAGTCATGTGTTTTGTAGAATCTGACAATAGAATACAGGTACAAAAAGATTGGGGCAAAACAAAGTCCTGACCCTAAGAATTCAATGACAGTCCTGCAAATATCTAGCATCTCTTTACAGAACATGAAATAGCTGGAACTTATTTTTAATTTGATGACAGGTGTCAAGGCAAAGCATTAAAGGCCCAGGTTCTCTGGATCAAAAGCAATGTCTCAAAAAGTATAATTAATGTGTAGCAAATATTCCACAAAAACTTGGGAATTTGGTGAGGAGACTAGTGGTGCGCATGTGTGACAGAAACTACTGCTCTCTCCGCGCCCTCGCTTCCCGTCCGCATCTGCCCTTAGCTGAGTCCTGGAAGAATGTTAATCTGCCAGAATCCGGAGAAAGTCTTGACGACCGCTAAGCCTCCTCGTCCCCAAAGCCCCGCCCCTCTTGTAGCGCGCATGTGCAGAAACGGCGCCCTGCCTGAGTTCTGCGGTTGCAACGCGGTTGCAAGCGATGGCTAAGTCCTCGTGCTATCCGCCGCCGGCGCAGCCTGTCACTCACCTGATCTTTGACATGGACGGTCTCCTTCTGGGTGAGTAATTTACGCCCTCTGTTTTGCATCTGTCAGTTGGGCAGTCCAATTCATGGGGCGGGAAGGTCGCTGATTAGGTCTGTCCTCTTGTAGGATTAGAGCCCAGTGCCGCTGTTGCTTCGCAGTTGTGTGCCGGGGCACGGTGTACGGCGATGTAGCCTGTGGTTTCTCCCGCTTCCTTTCTAGTAACAGATTCTGAAAACTGCCAAATGTGAGCGCGCGCACACAAACACAAACGTTCTTCTGTTGTAGAATAAGGAAAGCACAAAGCCAATAGGCAGGCTGTGATTGCTTTGTTTGTGGAGACCTTGTCGCTCCAAATTAGTAATTTATTTACTGAATGCACAACGTGGCATGACGATAATAGTCCTCTTTCTACCATCACGTGCACGCTTCAGATCGTCATCACGTGCACAGGATACTGTATAGAAAAAAAACAAGGAAAAAGAGTTGAAGCCTTTTAAGATGGATGCAATCCTTAGAGATAAATAGGCCTTCCAGTAATTTTAACTGCCTTACTGTAAAAAGGATTGTAAGTACAGTTAACTTTGTCCAGGATTGTACTCAATTTTGATTACAATTTTGATTCCTTTTAACTCACTGTTTCTCAATCTCATCAACTTTTAAGTTTTATAGATTTCAGCTCCCAGGTGTGAGAAACGGAGAAGTTTAAAAATAAAACGGTTGCAATTGATTAACAATAGAAAGATTAGCCAAGTCCTGCAGTAGGCACTAGATTCCAGGAGGCTTGGCTAGAAGACACACTTAACGAGACAAAAGGATGGCAGAGGGAGTTCGGAACAATGTAAAGAAGGGGCGGAGGGATGATGTATTCTGGCTAGGCCAGTGATGGCGAACGTTTTAGAGACCGAGTGGCCAAACTGTAACCCAAAACCCACTTATGCATTATCGGGTGGGTGTGGTCCATTGGCTGGGCATGGCTGCAGTGGTAATGGCAGACTGGGTGGGACTAAAAAGTTCAATCAATCAATTCCAACTTTGCAAGATCTTTTTTTTTCCTACGAGAAGTTGAAATTGATTGATTGATTGAACCCTTTTTTTTTTTGCACATGGCTGCGGGGGCCTAAAGCGAAAAGGTTTTATAAAACCCAGCTGAAGGCCTAGGACTGGGGCGATGGCTGGTGTGCCCACAGAGAGGGCTCTGGGTGCTGGCTCTGGCACCCGTGCCATAGGTTTGCCACCACTGGGCTAGACGAATCGGAAAGATTGTGCCCCCGGAAGTCCTCTCAAATGGGACCTAAGGGGAGGGGACGGGGGCATCATGATAGGAGTTTATATAATGTTGATAAATATGCATCAATATGATAAATCTTCAGAGACAGTTAAACCTACAATACAATGGAAACTAATTGAATAAGAAAAATACAGATGGTGAGAGTCAGGAAGAGATTAAGGAAGTAAGATAAACCATATAGGCAAAAATAGTTGGGTCTGAGAAAGGAAGAAGAGAAGCTATAAAAATATATATGAAATGGCTAGCCAGGAAGGTTGAATGGAAAATAGGAAAATAAGCTGAATAAGCTAAGAGAGGCACATTGAATTGAAAAGCAGGAAAAGAACTTATTGTTTAAAATGGAGATATAAATATATACTAAGTTTAAAATAACCATTTACATTTACATGTCTATGTGAATATGATTTAGTATGTTATCAGGAAATGTGTATAGGCAGAAGGAAAGAGTGTAACCTCCTACTATCTCAGCCAATGGGGAAAGAGGAGGGCTGTAGCGGCCAATGATAGGGATGAATAAAAGAAGGAGATATTTTGGGTTAAAACTTTGGAGAGAACCAAGCTTTGATAGCTTCTCTCCCCGCTTATTGCAATAAATGAAACAAAAGGCCTTCACTGTGTCTTGGCTGGTTATTGGTCAGGCGAGCTTGCCTCTGGTCACGAAGGAAAGTAGCCAGGAGCACATAACAGCCTTGGGGGCACCTCCGGGATTTGCATCCGTTCCATCTTTGGCAGCCGGGGATATTTGAAAGGGGAGTGCGCACCTGGGTAAGTTTTTCCCAGGCCTAAAGTTCGGATTGCCCCTGCTCAAACAAGGAGGAATTGGAGATCCCGAGACGGAAAGCCAGGACCCAGTGAAAACCTAAGGGAAAGTCGGCCGACCTAAGGAAGGACTTCAACTCAGCCTGACAGGTAAGATACCAGAGGGGTATTGTATATCAGAGAGGTGTTAATGGGCAATAAGAGTTTGAAGAGGAGGGACGCCTCCCCGGCCAGTGTGCCAGCCAATAAGGAAAAAGAGGAAAGGTATTTACATTCTGGAATGAACCCCCTTAGGGAGATGGGAATCCCTTAGGGAGAATGTTGAAGTGTTTTAAGTCAATGCTTTAAACAAGGCATTTGAACAAAGGAAGGATGATACATTATAGTATATATTTGACCTAAGTACATGTTTGGCCAGCCAATAAATTAAATTGGGCTTCTCAGCTTGGCTTAGAGCGATGGGGAATGGATAGGCAGTGGTTAAAGTCTATCAGAAACGCTCCTTGCATTTCCCCACTGCCTGGAGAACAAGCTACAAATTGCCCCAAAAGAGTAAAAGTGGAGATTTAAAGTGGAAATGATGTTTAAGGGTTTGTGTGTTTGTGTGTTTATACTGACTCATTTCTAAAGACCTGGGGGAGGGGAGGGAGAGACCCTCTAACAGTAATATACAAAACAACGCCTTATTCCAAAAGGAAATTTGGGAGATGGAGCTCATTGGCTTTGAAAAAGTTCCTTGAAAATAAGAATGATTGTTTTGCCTGGGGTGAAACATTTGGAATTTTTTGTGTCTGGTGTAAAAGCAAGAAAGGGTGAAGAAGGGTAGTTTCTTAGTAATTAGAAGGACAATAGAAGGTGGTAAAAGAATGGAAATAATCAGATGGAAAAGAGGGAAAGAGAGAGAGAAAGAAAGAAGCTGTGCGAAGTTTTATGTCTGGCCAGGATGAAAGGCGAGAACTCTGATCTGCTATTTTGTGTGAAAGAGTTAAGTAGAAAGCTATGTATTTCTTGAGGTTCTTATAGTTTGGAAGGTGACAAGAGAGGAGAAAACCTCTCTCCAAAGGGGGGGGGAATTGTCCCCCCCTAACAGCTTTTGAAATCAGGCAATCTAGGAAAAAATTGCCTAAACTAATAGAAGATCCTATTGAAGTAGGAAAACAGGTTAGAAATGTTTTTAGGATCAATGGAAAGCATGGGAAGGTATTAGGGTACAAATGCAGAAATTAGACACATGGAAAACTAAAACAATAGAAGATTTATTAGCGGTAAAAGAGGCTCAGAAAGTATATGCGAAGAGAGAAGAGGAGAGAGATAAACGTAAAATAAGATAAAAATCATGACTCAATTACTGCAAACAGGCCAGCAAAGAGGAGGGGGAAGAACTAGCACATTTGGTGAATTTTGAGGATTAGGGTGTCAGGGGACTAATCTGTTTTCTGGTTCAGCTTTTTAGGAACCCCTGATAAACCTTAAAGGTTGGATCCCTGGAGAAGGAAAGGGTGTACTTGGTGGATTCTGGACCACCAGATTTATCCTGAACTTTTACCTCCAGGAATGCAAATTGGGAAAGGGAAGATTAAGGATCAGGGAATTATGGACATGTAGTAGAAGCAACAATATTTAAATCAGCTATGGTCCAGACAGTAGTAAAAGGACCTGAACTTTGTATTGGTTAAAGGGAGCTGCAATTTGGCCAGGGGGTACTTAATTGGTAAATTGGGGGTTGTTATTATGGGGAATGAAAGAGAAATAATTGTAAATATTATGACCTTGAGTGAGGAAGCTCAAGGAAAAGCGGACCCTCTTATATGGGCAATAGAAGAGGGGTACACATGGATCCTTTAAAGGTGACTTTAAAGAACCCTGGTGAAGTAATTCACCAGATACAGTATAACATTACATTGGAGGGAAGAATGGGTTTAAAGCCCATGGTGGAAGGGCTATTGAAGGGGGGTGAAATGTTTGAGCAATCCTTTTAAACATGTTTAGTTTGTTACTTTTTTAACCCAAGAATTTCTGCCTTGGAAAAGTAAGAGATGTAGAAAAAGAAGAAAAAAAGTGGGGGGGGAGGCAGTTTCTGTCTGCATGTTTGTTTGTGTGTATGTGTGTTTTTTTTAAGAACAGAAATTGGGTAAAATTTCCTGACTGTAAGAATAATTAATCAGTGGGATAATTGTCTTCAGAAACTGTGGATGCTTAATTATTGGAGGTTTTTGGGAGGAGGTTAGAAATTGATAGGGTCTGAAATGGATAGAGTTTCCTGTTTCAGTAAGGGGTTGGACTAGAGGACCTCTAATGTCCCATCCAACTCTGATATTCTGTTTTTGAATGTATGGTATGCTTCAGTGATTTTCCTTTGCATTTTAGTTTGGATTTATCCTTAATAATGCATTTGAGGGTATTCTGGTCAAAGGAACAATCTTATGATGTTTTATTTAACATCTGATAAATATGTGTCTTTGGGACTCCTTGCTACTGCAGAAAAGATGATTAATTGCTGCATACTGTGTGTCCAATTTGTTTTCCTTTTCCTTGGAGCCAAGGAGGGGAAGGGAAATCTTTATAGAAATCCAATTTGGTTTCAGGGTTATAGCCACAGGCTGCAAGGCTGGATTTGAGTTCAAATCCTGCTTTAGCCATGAGGGTTGGCTGAGTGTTTTGGGGCTGGTTTATTTTTAGCCCTAGGAAGGAGGTATTGGCAAGCCACTTCTGTAAATGTTATGGCAATTTTCCTCCTGAGGGCTGTTTCAAGCAAAAGTTTTATATAAATTTTTACTCTGTCCGGTTTAGTGAGTGGGGGAAGGGGGAGACAATCTTTTGTCTTCTTAGCTATCCTGGTGTTCTTTGATGTGCTGCCACAAGAGTGATTGGAATGTTATTTGCCTGAGACAAAAGGCATTCCAGAAATGTTGGCCCAATGCTAATTGGTGAGCCTATGTGCTTTACCTTTTAGAATCCTGAATGTGTTATTTACAATAAGTTTATT